CACAAGTTCCCAACGTTAACCGTCACAAGTTCCCAACGTTAACCGTCACAAGTTCATAACGTTAACCATCTCCGTTTCACAGAGTTAACGGTCACAAGTTCCCAACGTTAACGGTCACAAGTTCCCAACCTTAACCGTCACAAGTTCCCAACCTTAACCGCCACAAGTTCCCAACGTTAACCGTCACAAGTTCCCAACGTTAACCGTCACAATTTCCCAACGTTAACTGTGACAAGTTCCCAACATTAACCATCACAAGTTCCCAATGTTAACCGTCACAAGTTCACAACGTTAACCGTCACAAGTTCCCAACGTTAACCGTCACAAGTTCATAACGTTAACCGTCACAAGTTCCCAACGTTAACCGTCACAAGTTCCCAACGTTAACCGTCACAAGTTCCCAACGTTAACCATCACAAGTTCCCAACGTTAACCGTCACAAGTTCCCAACGTTAACCGTCACAAGTTCCCAACGTTAACCGTCACAAGATCACAACGTTAACCGTCACAAGTTCACAAAGTTAACCGTTACAAGTTCACAACGTTAACCGTCACAAGTTCTCAACGTTAACCGTCACAAGTTCACAATGTTAACCGTCACAAGTACACAAAGTTAACCGTCACAAGTTCACAACGTTAACCGTCACAAGTTCTCAACGTTAACCGTCACAAGTTCACAATGTTAACCGTCACAAGTTCACAAAGTTAACCGTTACAAGTTCACAACGTTAACCGTCACAAGTTCACAACGTTAACCGTTTCACAATGTTGAACACAGGTTACAACGTTAATGCCCACTGCTCCAAACCTCCAAGTGTTTCCACATTTTAAAGAAACTGGAGCTGACTGGTGTCATGTGTTCTGGACCCAAACTCATCATTAAAAGCCTACAATCTGCTGCACAACCAGCCGCTCTCACCAAATGGTGTATGAATGAAAGAACAATTTGTAAGTCATTTAGCGTCCAGTAACGTATCATCTTCATCTTTGTTCTTCTTCACGCTCGGAGGAACTGACATAGTGTAAAGAGCGAGAAAGACGGTTCAAACAAACAGGACTTCCAACAAGGAGACCGGTGTTGTTGAGTTATCGTGAAGTTATGTTAGTGATGTTTGTTTCCATACTTATGTTCGATTTTTACACTTTAGTCACTCTACGTACTTATTTTAAGCAGAACCAAGTGTTTCCTAAACATTACTAAGTGATTGACTGAACATAACGGTGGGTGTTTCATGATAAAGACAGGCGTACAATAATAAACATGTGTAATAAAGATGTTGTGATGTTCATAAGAGATCTGGTTGATACAACAGCAGACAGCCATCAGCTTACATTGGCTTTAAAGAAGGACTGAGTGAGCTGGGACTGAGAGCTGCTGTTGGATTCAATGAAAAGCAGATGTGAAGTGAAGCCCAAATATTTATCTTAGAACATTCACATGTGCACATCTGACCCTTTTTAAAAACATACTCATCACTGGAGTACATTGAAATAACGGCTCAGTTCACTTGTGACTTCTCTGGTTGACTCTGATTCTTATCTTTATTTGCGGTGTTGGTGATTTAAAGGAGGTTCAGGTCTGAATGTGTTGGTGAGTCTGAATGTCACAGTCACATATATTATGAATGAAGCCCACATTCCCCAGCAGCTTGGCTCTAAATAGAGACTTTTAAATAGACAACTCTTTCTATTAATAGAGAGAGTTGTGCTCCATCTTGACTCTGGTGGAACTCCTCCTCAACATGAGCTGCTGGTTATTTTTAGATGCTTTGAGGGTGATTTCTCACATGGGATCAGATCCTCAGGAACACGTCCGTCACATGCTTTTCTCTCAACGTTAGTTTGTCAGATAACATTTGACAAGAATCAAGAAGCGCAAAGTTCATGAACACTAGGCGTGTTATTGTTTATAATTAAACTAATACGCAGTGTTGTTTAACTCTCCGAGCTCGGTCAAATATTACATAAATGTTCATGTTTATCATTCTGATAGATTTATCAGCACGGATCAGAAAACACAGAAAAGAGAATCCTGAAGTGAATGAGCACATATTCTGCTTTATCTTAATGTTAATATTATCCTGCAGTCTAGATATAAAGACTCGTTCTCCATGTGGAAGAACATTTCTTTCTTTCTGCCGGCTTCACCGAAAACCCTTCAATATTTGCCGTTGCCTTGGTTACAAAATGACTGTTCTTTATGTTTATGTCAGTAATTATCTCCTGAATATACAAACACTCCTGATGAAAACATGGTATTCAGTTTCATCTGAATCATTCAACATTTTAACAGAACTGTCACATTAGAATGTTTTTATGTTTTGAAATAAATGTTTTTTATTTTCCAAACTTCATTCACCGTGAAGAAGCTGATCTCATGTGATCTCATGTGATCTCATGTGATCTCATGTGATCTCATATGATCTCATATGATCTCATCTGATCTCATCTGGAGGTCTTTTAAGGAAGCCCTTCAGTACACAGAGACCTTTTCAAAGGTCTGTTTCTGAGTCCACCTTAAAATGCAGACAGTCCTCTCTTGGATTCGTCCCATGAGCAGCCGATGACACATCAGTCTGGCTACAAAACATCTGGACAACAAGAGACGAGGAGGCTTTTAAAGTGAGGCAGCTGTGAGGAGGAGCAGCAGACCGACCGACTCCTTTTCCAACATGAATCCTGCTCTGCTGGCGTTGGCGGCGTCTTTGCTCGCCACGGCGGCGGCTCAGTCTCACGACCACCAGGACATGTCCTGGGTCAACGGCTACCGCCAGAGCTTCAACTTCCAGTGTCCCCACGGAGAGGTCCTCGTGGCCACCAGGAGCTACTTCAGCGAGACGGACGGCTCGGACCGCCTGTGGTCGTTTGAGTGCCAGCCCACTCCGGAGGGTCTCGGGGAGCCCAGTGACTGCTGGTGGGACGACATCAACCGAGCTGGGATGGAGTGGTGGGTCTGCATTTGTAGAATTTAGAGTGTGTTTAAATTTATGTTCGTTATTCAAGAATCCAAACAAGTTGGTTTTCAGTAGTTTGGAAGGGTGTGAAGCTTGTGGCACAACAGAACTGTTTATGAACTGCAAACATTACATTTATTGTCTTAGTCAGCAGGGACGAACCTTCAGTGATATGAATAACTGATCCAGAATAATATATGACGACAGTAAATACGTTTACGTGCAATCAAATATTATTATTATTATATAGAATAATAGTGGAATATTTGGTGCATGAAGACCATAAATGCCGATCAGAGTCAGATCTCAGTCCACTACGTGGTGCACCTGTTCAGCAGCTGCGAACGTGTTTGTTCATCAGATAAACATTTCAACAGACTGATCCATGTGAAGACCACGTCATAGGAACATTTTGGGCCCATTGTCCCTCCAGTCAACAGGAGAAAGAACAGATCAAAGATTTGAAAAAAGCCTGATCCACTATGTGATGTGGTTTTTCGTCCTCTGACCAACAACACGGGTTGTTCAAGGTCACTATTAGCAGACAACAAAGGACCTCAAGACACTGATGAGCTTAAAGACAGAGACAGCAACCAGAGGACATATGTGGTCCTCTAAAGACCAGAGGACATCTGTGGTCCTTTAAAGACCAGAGGACGTCTGTGGTCCTTTAAAGATCAGAGGACATCTGTGTGCCATGAATATTCATGGCTACGTAGTCGTTGTATGTGGATTCGATTAACTTGTGTTCAACGTGGTCACACCGAGTCCCTGACCGGAGGAGGTCTGGCTGATCGGATCACATTGGGTGCATTTGAACGTGTAGCTTTATGAGGTCAAACTCTGTCCGATCATCGAAAATGATTTGAATTCCAGGTGTAAAGGGTGTCTGTGTTAAGGCTAGCTCAGCTAACCGTAGCTTAGCTGAGGTTACAGTGACAGAGTTGTCCGCTCTGCTTTGTATCGCTGTCGGCTAGCAATCGTTAGTTATATATGTTTTGTACCGTCATCAATTGTTGTTGGTTAAATCAAACACAAGTGAATGTCACTGATGACGTTAGCTCATGAAGTATGTTGGCGAGCTAGTAAACTAGCATACCCACTGAGCTAGGATTTTCATAGAAAGTACTTTAACCCTCTGAACCCCAAAAACCACCGGCGAAATGGAAAAGCATGTTTTCTATAAACAATCGCCAAAACTACACCGTTTATCTCAGCCAGAAGCTGTAAAAAACACCATTATCGTCAGATTTCCATCTTTCAGACGTCCCTTGAACACATCATGGGACGTCTGGGAAAATGTCAGGGAAAGCAACCGAAACAAAGCTTAACATTTTGATAATTCATCAAAAAATAAGTATTCTAAATGTCTCGTTTTGCCCCCAAATAAAGCATTCAGTTCCTCAGAGAAACTATGACTAGGAGAGAGGAGAGGGGAGAGGAGAGGAGAGAGGAGAGGAGAGATGAGAGAGGAGAGGAGAGGAGAGAGGAGAGGAGGGAGGAGAGGAGGGGAGGGGAGAGGAGAGGAGGGGAGGGGAGAGGAGAGGAGGGGAGGGGAGGGGAGAGGAGGG